AACCATGTGAAAACACTGTTTAGAACAAGCTCTACAGTAAAATTTGACAAATATATGTTAATCATGAGGTTCATATCACTGTAGTGAATACAATAAATACAAATGAACAAGATGTAGTCCATTTTCTCAGGGAACTAACAACCTAGGCTTAGACAGATATATAATTAACTCCAGTAGTTGTTGAACAGTCATAATAGATGCTGAAGCAATGAGCTTTAGCAATTTAAACTAAGGAGTGATGACTGTTGGCAAGAAATCATAAAATATTTCATTAAAAAGGTAATGTCTGAACTTGATGTAAATGGGGAAATATGATTTCAGTGGGTGAATTAGGGTTGTGGAAGCATTCCAAGAGAGACATTAGCATAAGTAAGATACAGGAAACATGCTGGCTGATTTCAAAAACAATGAATATAATTATGTTAACAAGACCTTAGAATGACTCAGGGCAGTAGGGGTAGTAGGAGTTAAGAGCTAGATTTGTAGGTTAGGACCACTGAAGAGGTTCTTGATATATGATTATATTATTAACATGAGTTAATACAGTACATTATAGCATTATGTTATTAATATACTAATATGGTATTTATTGCATATAAGTGTATATTACATATTGGAATATGTTATGAGGAACGATCACTATGATTAGAACTTTACTTAGCAGGTTTAACCTTGGAGAATTACATAGCAGAAAGGGATAGGAAACAAGAATAAATGAAAACCTATTGTAATATTCCAAGTGAGAATTAATGAACACCTAAACTACAGTGGTTTTAATGTATATGCAAAGAGAAGAGAGTAAATGGATGGGGGGTTGATTACAGATACATTTAAATGTAGAGACTGGAACTGCCTGAGTACAGAGAGTTAAGACAAACTCAGAGATAAGAACATTTTGTAGTCGGAGAGAATGGCACCTTAGGAGAAATGACCTCTCTGGGCTCATCTATAAAATAATAGTAGTACCAATCTTCCAGGATTATTCTGCTGATACATACGTATTTAGCACAGTGCCTCAGAATTTAAAGCACTCAGTAAATATTACTTATTGTTATTTATAAGTGATCAATAGAATCATCTAGTCATGGGAAATGTTATCTAAAAGATCTTTATCATTTTGTTTATGATATAATGAAGAGTTATTAAAAACACAAATATGACAGAAATACATAGTACATATACTTACAAGCAGCAGAGACAACTAATAATGACAGTTTGGTATTTACACTCAAAATTTTTTCTAGTCCTACAATAATGTATTAGTATTACTTGTATTTGTACAACATCGGGATCATTCTATGCAACTTCTTTCTTTTTGTAAAATAATGTTTTGGAGCTCTTTCCAAATTAGAACATATAGTCACCTCATATTCTTTTGAATAAGGCTACTTATTTCACTGCATTAATGGGCCATAGGGAATCTAAGGGGACACTTGGAAAAACTAGATGGAGTTCCAGGCCCACCAGCATATATGGTGCCTTTGTGTAAATTAGAAAATTTGCTCCCTGTAGGTGATGACAGACATACAGGTGCATATCTTAATTTGCAAACCCTGAGGAAGTTCAATCTCTCTACTTTGCCCCCTGCTGGATACCTGTGGCAGAGAACAGTCTCTACAACCATTAGCAAAGCTGTGTGGAAATGCCAAAACCAATGTTTAAAACCTTTTGGGAGGCTCAGAAAAAAGCATGAACTTTGAGCTACAGATTTTGTCTTTTTTCCCCTCACAGAAGCCATGGTTGTAGCCTTGGATGTAAGAGAAATAGATGAGGCCTCCATGGGAGAGTTTCTATAAAGGAAAGGTATTAAAGGGTGTTAATTCCAAAACATGTATGAGAATGGGACAAGATGAGAGAGACAGAGAGAGACAGAGATAGGGACAGATACATAGACACAGAAAGAGAATAATGATATATAGATGACAGAATAAACTCTATTAAAATAATATAATGATGATAGAATAAACTCTATTTTATCATCTTCTAAGACTCTACATATGCATATATATGTATGAATATATCAATGTATCACTTGCAGTCTAAACCCCTGCTCTCTGATTTCTCCTTTCTGAATTTTGGAACTGAAATAATTCAGGAATATATTTGGATAAATGCCTTGCTATCCGAACAGTTATTACCACTACCAGAAACTTGCGAATCAAACAGATTCGGATACTACGGTATCCTCACTTGTCAAGCTTGCTATACGAACTCAGGAAATGCACAGATTTGAATTGTAAGGGACACTTGTAAGCATATTTTAATTTTAATTTAAAATCTGAAGCATCAAATGAAATTTTCCCCAAACCCTTCCTCATTTAGCCATCTGCAGAATTTTGTTCTGGTACCTGACTGTTTTTGTCTATATTGCATATTTTTGTTTGGTTCTTAAGACTGTGTTCTTAAATAGTTTCTTTCTATTAAAAAATTGCCCTTCGCCTGGGTGGCTCAGTCGTTAAGCATCTGCCTTCAGCTCAGGTCATGATCCCGGGGTCCTGGGATCGAGCCCCACATTGGGCTCCCTGCTCCTTGGGAGGCCTGCTTCTTCCTCTCCCACTCCCCCTGCTTGTGTTCCCTCTCTCGCTGTATCTCTCACTGTCAAATAAATAAAATCTTAAAAAAAAAAATTGCCCTTTATTTTCTAAAATACTTTCTTCAATTACTTCCTCTAATAATCAAATGTTATCTAGTTCCCCTTTCTGAAGCTGATAATAGTGTAAATTTTTCTAAACTTTTTTGGTCAGATTTCTAAATGTATCTTATCATCAATACATGATGCCTGATTTATAGAGGTTTCTTGTACCAACTGTTATTCTAAGAAGTCAAACTGCAGGTGTCTTCTGATTTCTCTCTCTCTCTCTTTTTTTTTATTTTCATAATGAAATACAAGTTTCATTATGAAGTAAAAGTTGGCTTTTCCCCATGCACTCTCTCTTAAAATCATTAATTATTTATAAACAATTTATTGTTAGAAAACTAAGGGAACTTCCGTACCCCCTTCCTGATCCTTGGAGATGTGACTTCCTAAATAGGGATTCTGGTGAAGCCACCTGGAAGTTAATAAAAATCAAGGGAAAAAAGACCATATTGGAGTTAATAATGAGCACACAATTACTTTCCTCTTATGCAAATGATGTAAAACAAAACAAAAAGCATTCAGAAGGGCTGCAGTAATTGTAGAATAATGTTAATGATTTAAAATATACACAAGCAATCAAATGCACCATGCTGCCTACAATAAAATTTGAGGCTAAAATATTTAAATAACTGTCAAAGGTCTCTCCTCCACTTTGCTTCTCTCAAGGATCGTTCTTCCATTTTATATCTAATTGAGCTATTCCATTGCCATGTCTGGAGCAAATTTAGAGAGCCTTACTTGAACTTGAGGAATAGTTTTACTTCAGTGTACATAACTTTGCCAAGAGGTCTCACCACCCCTTTGTCTCTGACAAACAGAAGCTTTATCACCACACGGTAAGCAAGGCTTTTCCAGTAGTAGTTGCCAAAGCTTTTGTTTTTTTTACTCTTATCAATAAAATATTTTGAGGGATGTACCCAAAATAAATGTACTTTTAAACATACATGAAAATCAAAATTAACAATGGTAAAACACAAAATAAATAAACATTTAATATCTTCTTTCTGGACATTCCAGGAATGCATATACTTACTTCACTGGTAAAACCTATTCTTTCTCATAAAAAGACAGAGTTCTTCTTGTCATTATCTATTATTTCAGAGGTTCTTTTCTTCTATGATGACTAAGATGTACCAACCTCTTATTTCCCTTTGTTCCCTTTCCTTTACTTACTTATTTATTTATTTATTTAAAGCCATCCAGTTTGCTAAGCTGATCTGGTCACCAAAAAGCTTTGTCTCTATATATTTAAACTGTTGTGCCACCGTTTATGTTTTTGACACTGCTAGCACTTAGTTCACACGAACTCATTCTCCCTGCATTTAAAAGTCCATTTTTTTCTAACATTTAAATTGTTAACCTAGAACAAAGGTAAACTTTAAACTTGTTTAATTGATCTAGCTTATTTTAAAGAGCAAGGTAATTTATACTAGTCGAGATTTTTTATCATGGTTTAAAAATGTGTATTTGTGTGTGCAATGTAAATGCAAATATTATTTTAAGAAGAATGGCTTGATAATATTTATAATTAAGGACATTAGCCTCCCACATCTTTAACTATTTAAAGCTAAGAAGATTTTGTAGGATTATTTTAGTATGTCTACTACTAGCCATACCAATATTTACATCACTGGAATAAATTTCTGGAGAAAAAGGTAGCCTTATAAGTAAATGTTAGAGAGAGAAAATGAGATGGGGCTATTTTGGTGGCCTACATAGGTTATTTTTCATATATTTTATATATTTTAATGTACTTTTTATCTATCTATCTGTCTATCTATCTATCTATCTATCTAGTCTAATGATCCAAGTTCATTTGTGTACTAATAACCAAAGTTAGCAAATTTTTCTAAAGAAAAAAACAACTCTTTAAATGTCAGAGATGGTTATAATACTTTAGTCATGAATGAGAGCAAGAAAAGTGGATTCAATGATGCCACTAAACATGGGCATGATGCTCTTAGAAGATAAGAACAATAAGAACCTTAAGGGAAGTATATTTATATCTCCAAGGAGTTAACTTCATTTGTGACATTTTCTAAGTTTAACAGATATTTGACATGTTTTCCGATTTTGGAGCTGTGTTTTACTTTTTGAAAGGACTGGTATTCTGACTGCAGTCTTTCTAAGCCCCTTTGTCGCTAGTTCTTGGTAATTTTCTTTTCATCTCTTAGTGACAGATCTGAATCACCAGAAATCAGAAAACATGACTCTGGCAACTAGTTTCAACAGACCTTGTTCAGTGGCATATACAGAATGTAATTTATTTTTTGTGACAGTTTTAATAAAAGTGACGTGAAACACAAGGGCTATAATGTTAGTGATATTGCACCTCAAAAGAGGAGAAAGTTTGGTATGTTACCTCCTGATTAGCAGCAGCTAGTTCTTCTTCCAGTGCAGAGACTCTTTCTAAAGAAACCCTCAGTCGCTCCCTTACCTAGAAGAAAAACCAAAATATGTGCAGTAATGTACATCCCATACATGTTAAACTGTGCTGAATCCATCAATACCATTATCAGAGACAGTCACATTTGGCAAATTATTAAAGTCTTTATAGCCCTCAGTGCTCATAAATACTATGAATACATTGTCACCTTATAGCATCACTATATCAAGGGATTTCCTTATAAGCAAGTCATTTTAGTGTTCCAATGACAGAATTTCCAATGGGGTTGGAGATAGATCTGCTTGATCTCAAGTAAGTGGAGGCAAAGTTCAAAAGTATATTATGAATTCATCTGAAAAACAGACTCACTGATTAAGTATGACATACATAAAAAATTTTCTACTTTTAAAAAAATAATACATGAGCTTCATTTGGTATGAATAATTTCATAAAGGATTCTTAGAACCTGAAAAATGTGTCCATTGCACATACATTTTATATTAATTAGAAGTCTATATTGTTACTGAGGGATTGGCAAGTACTTGATTACTCTGGAATTCCTAACTTGCTTCCAGATACCAAAGGTTAAGCCAATACATCCTATAGAACCAAAGACTCTGCACATTTAGTTTGAAGATAATTATGATTTGAAGATAATTGTGATTTGCAAATGTTTCATACATGAAACTCAAAGTAGTTTTTTAATTCTTGCTTTCTTAGAACTTCTAAAATTGATTTAGTTATTATATGTTCAGATCTTTAGATGTGCTCTATATTACATATATTTAAAAAGGTATTTTTATCATGTAAAAAATTGAAGAAATTCAGAGAAAGAGATTTGCCTGAATTAAAATGAATGTCTACAGTGGCTTAATTCTCCTTAGAAAAGAATCAACAAAATTTATACCTTCAACTTGAGATGCAATTCATGGTGAATTTTTGATTATGAGTTAACATACATTTTTTTTTTTTTTTTGCCTGGGAATGTTACAGTATTTGTGAAGTTAACATGTATTTTAATATATAATTATATTTTTATAAACTAATTTTATTAATTCATTGATAGTACAGTTTAATGAATCACATTTTCCTTTTTTTAAAAAAAAATAAGATTTAACTGCGAACATAATATATAGGTTAGGTAATATAGTTTTAAAAATTAATTATTAATACATAATATAGGTTAAATACATAAACTATATTTTAAAAACTTACATAACAATTTTAATGTTGAATTATAACATTATTTTCCAATTAGTAAACAGACAAGAAACACTAATATCCTATTAATCTAGAATCTAATTAGAAATTTTTAAAAATCTCAATCATATTTTTGTGCTGTATAATGATAACTGATGCATATTCAGGTGGCTGGGTGCACTTAACTCCTGAAATACATCTTGAATGAGAAAGAATAACGATCTGAGAGGAGTTTGATATTATTTTTACTTAATTATGCTGAAATTCTCTGAAAATTAGTAATATATACATAAACTGATATTTGATCTCAAAGATAATTAGAACTTTTCCCGATATTTAGGACCTAGATGGACGTCCAGGTGCCAATGCTGTTAGACAAATAATTGTTCATTAAAATGCATAAAACTAATGCTGATTAATAACTGAACAAGAGCCACTTGAAAGGAAATCTTTGATGATTTGACCTGGGGAATACCTTTTTATGAGCAGCTTGGAGAGATGCAAAAGAAGCAAATACCCTGAAGGCTGCAAATAAGGAGGATTGCTGATATGTGGAAAGCAGTTATCAAAAAAATCTTAGTAGATGTGGTTGATATTTAATAGGGACGATTGTAAAGTTTTATGCCCACTTCCTAAAATACCAACTATAAAATATGGGTGTTTTGAGTGAGAAAGGTCTAAGGATCAGCAATATGAAACAGTCTAAATGTAACTTAACGATCTCACTATATGCACCATTGATCAGATCACATTTAGATTGCTGTGAAGAGGTGAAGGTGTCCTATTTTAAGATATAGCGATACATTGGAATGTTTCTAAAAGAGTCCTTCAAATCATATAAAGGATGGCTGAAACCAGGCTATCTTGTAGGTTAAAATATCTTCCTGACTTTCTTTGCTAAACTAATAATCACAGAAAATGTTCTAAACTGGTTTCTATTTACCACAAGTTAAGCATTTTTTATTCTCATTATATTGAACCTCCAAGAAGTAAAAATCATTAAGCTTATAAAACAATTTGAAAACAGAATCACCCCTCAATAAATTTAGAATGGTATCTACAGCTTAAGATCCTATTACCCACAGAGTAATGAATCCAAAGCTGTCTTTGAGAAAATAAAAACAATTTCTGAATATATTTTGAATTAGCTGTAAATGTAAAAATTGGTGCTGTAATTATCAATATAGTATGATATGAATTCTTTAGTCACATTTATATGAGGATAAATTATTCTCTGCATTTAATTCATCTTGCATTAACCTCTGCTAAACTGATAAGAAAAAAAAAAAGTAAGATCCAAAGGAGTAACTTTTCCAGGGTATAAAGAATCTTAACATCTTACCTTGTCTACATAGCTAAAACTGCATTAACAGGAAAAAAATTATCTTTGACAAGGCTTTTAGCTTTTTGCTTTGCTCTGCTAAGCACAGCACCAGCAGAATGCCATAATTATCTTTATTTTCCTTGTTAGATTTGGTGCTCTTGTGGAACCACCTAGACATGATTGATACACCATGACAAATTATAATTTTAATTTTTTTTCCTAAATGTAAATGCACAGTTGACAGCCTAAGCTCTCTACTTAACCTTTTCTGATTTTTTACTATTTAGCCACATTCAATTAATCCATTGTCTGTGTAGTCTTTAAGTTCATATGTATCGGTTGTTTATTTATGGAGCTATTGTGTAAACTCCAAAATATTTATGTACAACTAGAATTTTTTATTTCTAATTTCATCTGTTAAATCAATTTTCTTCATAATGGCATATTTCTTCAAAATAACTCAAGAATTTCTTCCCCAAAAGATGTTTCAAGGCTACTTACATTTTAAATCCCTGAGGATTTAAAATAAAGTAAGTCCCTAAAAATAACAAATGTGTCTCGGGATAAAGAGGAACTCTGGTGGAAGAAGCATACATTCCAAATTAAAAGTAAGGTATGGCAGGGTTTCATTTTGGAATTAGCATTCTTATAACAGAAAACATTATAAAGAAATCTCCTTAGACCAGAAGTTCAAATCCAGTTTTGGTACTGTGATAGCTGATGATAGAAATATATGCGAAGTGCATACATATTTACTGTTTTTTTTTGCTTATATTCCCCAGGCATAGCCAATATGTCTTTTAAAGAAAAAAAAATCAATGATGTCTGAATGATTGCAAAACACATGTATATCTCTCATTTCCTCCAGCCCACGAAATTGGTAAACATATTGGAGAGCGATGTCAAAATTACTGTTGGTCTTAGCTAATTGTGAAAATTTGATCCTACAACTCAGTGGATATACAAATAAGGACATTAATAATGAAGACTGCCAGTCATTGTAATTGTTCACAGCTGTGTTCAATTTTTTATACTTTATTTAGTTCCTCATGTGTAACTTTACCCTCTGTGGTAAAGTTGGTAATGTCTTGTCCTCAAGACATGGTTAATTGCATCTTCTTCTGATCATCTCTATATATTATAACATAATATCCATACTACTTAAATTAGGATGTTGTAGTTTGTGTCTCCACCCTCCCTATCCTTTTGAGTAGCTGTGAGCTATTCTTAGGGAAATTGCCTATGAAGGCACAGATTAATCCCTCAATAACTAAATAAAAGGCTATTTAAAACAAGCGTGTGGATCAACAGTGATACCAATATCTTTACTTAGCTTGAAAGTTTTATCAAATACTGAAATTTACATATTAATAGTAATATTCATTAACATTTAATGAGCACTTGCCATATGCTAAGTACTGGCTAAGAGTTTTGCATGTCAGATCCCATTAATCCTCATGACAATTCTATGAGGTACATACTATGACTCTCTTCATTCAAAATAAGAGGAAACAGATGCATAGAGAAGTTAAGTCACTTGTCCGTATCTGTCCAACTCCAGAATCCAAGCTCATAACACTTTTCCTTTAGACTGTCAGCAATACTTAGCTGATAATCAGTTCAGTTGCCCCTGGATTCATCAATGTCCATGGCACTTCCGGTGAGTTAGTAAATACTATTATAGCTCCTAGGGCCATGGTATAAATGCTTCATTTAGTTATGCTAAGCTCACTGAACATCTACATAGTAAATTATTTCTAAATTTTAAGTTGTACAACTATTCTCTTCTTAAATGTACTCATACCCATCAGGTTATTTGTCTTCAATATTCTTTATTGCCTTACATCCATTCTTTCATAACAGCATCCCTCAAGTGATGTGGGAATGATTACAGGGAACATCTAAAATCACACATTCTCAAGCACTTTCATTCAAGCCATTCAAAACTATTACACTTTCTCTGGACAGGCCATGCTCTTCTTACATCTCTGGGTTATCTTACATATTGATCTTGGTGCGCAGAGTATCTTTATGACTCTGCTTTTAAAACTCCTACACATTCTTTAATATTCAGACCAAATGTCCTCCCCTCTGTGAAGATATTCTTGAATTTTTCATCACTTTCTCAAGTAGAATTAGTCACAACTTTTTCTGTTACTTCATATTGCATTGTACATATTGTTTCTTAACATTACCTATTATTGACATGAATCTCTAGTGCTATGATCTCTTCAGTTGTAAGGAGAATGTCTTGTCTATTTTTGTGTGGCCAAACATCTGTCCTATATATAATAGATATTCCATAAATATAGTCTTCCAAATTCTTAACAATGTACTTTTGTAATAAGAAAGGGAATATGAAACTAAACGTTAAATATGATTATTTGATATTACATTTATCAAGGATCTTTAAATAATATCAATTTTTGTTTTATTCAAAATTATTCATAAACTACTTGCCTCTCACAGCTAAAATGAAAAATAAACTATAATTTCTTAATAATCTAGAAGATAGAATTATAGTTATCCTTTTGCACATACTTCACATAATCCCCTGCTCTAAGAACATCTGAAAGACCAATGATAAAAGTATCTATGTACGTAAATATTAACTAGAGCACAAGTGTCTGCATGCTCAAAACCTAGATATAACTGGATAATAATCCCTTATTTGGATTTTAATACTCAGAACTTCTCAGGTACTTTCTAATGAAGTGCCCCAATTCCCACTCTACAAAATCCTAAAGCTTTATTAATTTTAAAAAGTTAATTCTTTAACATTTCACAAAATTAAAATCATGTCATAAGCCTTACTAATCTCCAAAGGATATTATCATCATATTGGCTTATTTATGTCAGTAACAGTTATTTGAGTAACAGCTAAGAGAAGCTTATTGCTACTTTTAAAAAGACCTAAGGCAGTTTTTTCCACTAATACCTTATGCTGTTAGATGTAGAGACTCTTCAAAATGTATATTCAGAAGATACTAGATATTAGAGATCTAAAAAAAATGTATGCTTCTAATATAAATCTCCAAAGGTTAGAGTACAGCCAATTTACACCTCAAGATATGTTAAGTTGTCAGTTAGCAGTCTCCTGTGTTGGCGTCTATAAACATTGCACTTCAAAGAGGGGCTGGGAGAAGAGAAAAAGAGAGGAAGAGAGAGGGAGACTGACTGACAATATTGAATTTCACATGGCCATCTGGACTAGGACCATAATGCAACACAATACAAGTATAACTTGATAAGCCATAGATTCAGTGGCAATAAAAACAACATGGTTATGAGTATTACCCATATACACACAATAATCCAGTTGCATTTTAAAAAAAATGATATTCCTATAATCCAGATGTGTTTCTCTGTGCTGATTTACATCAGGAGTCAGCTGAGTCATTAGATGAAGACAAGGAGCTTGATGCTGATGACAAAAACACTGTTAAGCTTGAAAGCTTTTGCAGTACTAAAACTTTTTTTTAAAATTAGTAGATAAAGTTTATTTCATTTTATTTTTTTTACATTTCAGCTTGATTGAGGTATAATTGACACATACAATTGTAAGAATCCTTTATCAATACTATACCTTTTCATCCAAGGCCTTGTGGTGCTCAAACAAAGATTTCAGTGCCTTGAGAACCTCAACCTCACTGGAGACTCCTGAGGGGGACTGGGCTTGCCGTTTCACCACTGTCATTCTTAGTGACCTTTCATGTCGGGACACGAGGCACTCCAAGTGCTCCAGTAACAGCTATTGGGTTTAACAGAAAATGCAATTATCCTAAATGTAATTATCTTATGAACACAAGTTACTAATACTCATGACTCCTACTGTAAAAGATTGCAGGTTTGCATAGAATCTAATGATAGTCTCAGATTTTATCACAGGTAGCAGCAAAGAAGCACAAACCTGAGTCTAAACCAGGGTTCCTAAATTACATTAAAGTAAGTCCCATTTCTAGTGTATAACAAATTGCTCATTTAAGAAATATCATGTAAATTCTTATGTATTTTTAGAACAATTTAATAATTTCAGCATGAATTCAGTAGAAACAACACAAAATAGGCGTGATCAAATAGAATAATTATTAAAGAACATGGTACAATTCTTAACACAATGATGATTGTGTTAAGAAAAAAGTATTAAAAGTCAAAACCAATTTAATTTACACTTGCTGTTGCAATGAAGGTAATGAGCATAACATAATCATCATGTTGCTTTGAATGTGATTATAGTGATAATCACATTTGTGTAGTGATTATAGTGATAGTTATAATCACATGTTGCTCTAACGATTATAGGGAAAATAATGATTTTATTCACAATTAATTCTTAATAGAAATAGAAATAATAGAAAAATATATGCAACCAACTGGGATACAGTAACCGAGATTTGCAATAATCACTTGGGGAAAGGAGGTTAAAGTGCATGCTTTTTAAACTGTCTACTCTGGAACCTACATTCACCCAGAGTAGCCTCTGGAGCCATGACAGAAGTCTGGACAAAGTCCAGTGAACAGTGTTTCAGTCTGTTCTAACATTTCCCAAAGAAATTTTACTTTTCAATGTTTTGTGAATTGGGGCTTCACCTTCGTTTCGTTTAATAAAGGGAGTTCTGCTGCTAAAAACAAAGATACATAAATAAAACCCCAAACCTGCTGGTTTAACTTCTCAGTTATTGAGATTTTGCCAGGGAACAACAATACATGAGCAGGAAGTTTTGTAGGAGAGATTTTCAGAAGGATAGTGAAAAGCATAGGCTAACAAATGGTGTCTATGTAAAATAAGGCAGAAATTACTCAAACAAAAAAGGGAAAAGCAAATATAAGATACTGGGATGGAAAGAAGGAAAGAAAAAAAATTGCAGGCTTTTTCCTAAAGCTTACATTTCCTAAAGTAGGGGAAATTTTTGGTTTTCAGTTATTGTTAGATTCAGTGTCACATATTAGTGTCACCTTTCTTAGTCCTTAATAAATTAATTTCTTTCCATTCACCATCACTAATTATGGTTCAAAGTGTCAGAAAACTTTGCCATGCATTGGTACAAAAGAACACAAACATCTGAGATCCGAAATGTATATGGATCAGTAGGTAGGGATCACATTTAAGGGTCAAAATAATATTAATAGTTCTTCAGTATGATGATGACACAATATTTTCAAAGAGCTTTCCTTTTATTTATCAATCTGATTATATTCCTGGTGTTCTACTCTCTTGACTTCTACAGATACATGCATGCATTGGTTAAATCCAAGCTGTTTTACACAGGCTATGGGATTTTGTGTGAACTTAACCCTGAAATAGAGTTATGGGAGCTGAAAAGAGGAGAGACCTCCTTTGCGAGAGGGTGATGTTTAAATTGAGAAAGAGCTGGCCAGATGAGGGGCCAGATGAAGGACTCCAGGCAGAGGGTACAGCACAGGCAAAGGCTTGGCTTCCAAGGAAATCGAAGGAGGCTGGTAGGGTCAGAGCGAAGTTTGGTCAGAGAAAGACCAACACCAGATAAGCAGGGTTAAGTTCGTACAAAGCCCCATAACCCATGTGAAACAGTTTGCTCCCAGTCGACCTTTCAGAGTCCAGATATTCTCTTCTCCCCTGCAAATGGTGTGCTAAACCTGGCTCATACCAGCTTGCTAGAGAGGACCGTTAATTCTCAGGATTTTTGTGAGCCAGCAGTTAAAACACAGTAATTGTTGAAGCTTAAATTATGCAAGCTTATAATTAAATAAAAAATATTTTTTAAAGATAATAAACACACAGAATGTATTACTTCCTGATTATATTACTAAATTCCAAGGTTTTTTTTTTTTTTAGACTTTATTTATTTATTTGACAGAGAGACACACAGTGAGAGAGGGAACACAAGTAGGAGGAGTGGGAGAGGGAGAAGCAGGTTCCCCGTGGAGCAGGGAGCCCGATGCAGGGCTCGATCCCAGGACCTGAGCCGAAGGCAGATGCTTAACGACTGAGCCACCCAGGTGCCCCAAATTCCAAGTTTTAGTAAGGTTCCTAAATATCCCATGCTCCTTGGGTTGTTTACTTCTACTGTATTTGAATGGTAGAAATACCATAGACTGTTTCCAAATCTTTCATCGTTTCCCACCTCTGCATTCAGTGACATCATGTTAGTAGCTTGAAATCAGCTACAGTGGGAGTATTTACACCATGGGAACTCCAAACACTATATAGATTAGTATTTTTTTTAAATTTTTTTTTCTGGTTAAAAAAAATCATTTACCAGCACATCAGTGTCACTAGACATCAGAGCTGGGAGCGCAAATGTTATGCCCTTTCTGTATCCCTGACTCATAGAATCTGTGAGTACAGTAAAATGTTGTTTGTGGCACTAAATTTTGGGGTGGTTTGTTATGAAGCAATAGCTAATCAGAAGATCTTCTCTAAAAGCATCTATAACTATTATACCATGTCAATAGTACTGAGGAAAAAAGAATACCAAATTTCTTGGATATTATCTCTGAACTAGGACTAATTCTGTGGTACCCACTGTTGCAGAGGTTTTTGATAATCTCGTAGACAAAAATGATTCACCTTTTGGATATTAGCCCATTTCTCTGGCCACCGCCACATTTGCTCAATGGGCAGAAAAAGTGCCCATGGTTTCAGGGATAGAAGTTACTCATTGACCTTGCAAAATGGGCTTCTCACCATTAAGGTTGATAGGGTTACCACCACAGCTGAATGGCCAAGTGATTAGCTGTAGCCATCAATTTTGAACCCATTTCATGATATAGTATACCTAGAGACCAGCTAGTTACCTTGAAGCAAGTAGATTACATTAAATCCCTTCCATCAAGGAGGGGACGGCTGCCTTTTCTTAATGTAATAAATGTTTTTTCTGAATATGGATTTGCCTTCTCTAATGGCTCTGCTTCTACTAGCAATACTATCTTATCAGAGTTTTGCTTACAGTCTTTTTCTTTTAAAAGATTTTATTTATTTATTTGACAGAGGGAGACACAGAAGAGAGGGAACACAAGCAGGGGGAGTTGGAGAGGGAGAAGCAGGCTTCCCACTGAGCAGGAAGCCTGATGGGGGGCTCGATCCCAGGACCCTGGGATCATGACCTGAGCTGAAGGCAGATGTTTAACGACTGAGCCATCCAGGCGCCCCCTGCTTACAGTCTTATTATCATATACAACATTACTTCTGACCGAAAAAAAAAAAAAAAAAAAAAAACCCACATTTTATAGTGAAAGGAGTAATGTAATTGACTGATGTTCCCAGCCCTGGTTTCACCATGCTATCACACCATTCAGAAGCAGGTGATCCTATAAAACGGTTAAATGGCCCAAGGAAGAGTCTATCTTAATTATTGCTTGGAGATAACACATGGCTAGGTTGGGGTGCTATCATCCTGAAATTAGTGATGAATATATTGGTCCATATACAGAGGTCCAGGAATGAAGGTTTAGAATTGGAATTTATAATTACCAATAGGACTTAATGACCACTTGGAGAAGAGAGGATCTTTATTTTTTTTTGTTATATCACATACATAATGTATATTAAATTATTTTCCCCTTTTACTCTTGTATACTGGGTATTTGATTCTGATTAACATTTAAAGTAGTCCATACATTACAGAATATTAAGATATGACTGAGATTTAATAAGAGCAAGAAGAACCCTGGCCTTGTGGCTGGATGCATGCACCTTCTTTTTTTGAGAAAAGGTGATTTTGTTTTTGTCTAAGAGGTATAGTTGTATTGTTGGGTAGTTACATGTCAGTATTGCTGCTGTTTAGAGTTTTAATATGGAAAAGAGTATAATAAAAGTTAGGTTATTGTGGAGACTTGGTATTTGTGGTTGCCTCAAATCTTTTGTACATACCCTCCATCTTTGATAATTACCTGAATGCTGAACGTCATCTTCCCAATATTGGAAACAAAAAACACTTCGCAGGCACGTTTAACCACTAGGTGGCAGACAAGTGACTTAAGAGTCAGCCAACCAGAGCCACCCACACAGGACAGATTCTGAAGGGAGCCAAATGAGTAACCAGGCTAGGCTTGGGGGTCCATCTTGTTGGCACATGTAGTAGTAAAGGCTGCATGTTTCTGGGACTAGGAATGTAAGGAAAACTCACCAAAGCTAAGAAATATGGTCCTAGACATTGCGCATGGAAGCTAGGTTTGGAGATTTCTTATATTCCTTAATTAATGTCTTCTTGATTCAAACAGTTCAGGTGTACTGTTTTATGCAATTAGGATATAATAAAACCAAATAATGTGTTCTTATTAATATAAAACAGACTTCTTAGGGGCTTAACAATTTAACTTATCCTCAGTACTCCTTAATACTTAGGAAATTATTCTATAGAATATATGTTTAATGCTCATGTATCGAATTGAAGTAAGATAAATGTAAGTTACCTAGCCTGGAGAATGTGGGCCAAAATGTTCAAAACTAGCATGTATCCATGACTTCTAAGCTTATAAATTAAAATAAATGAAAAATGAAGAGGAACTCACAAAGATAACACTAACAAGCTACTAGTTGTATACCTTTGCTAGGAGCTACACTTTTATCTAAAATTTAATAAATATTGCAGAAGGCACTCTTTTTGGTGTACTCACAGGATTGCAAGGACTACGTAAATGACCACTAATCCTATGTTGGGATTCATTTTAAATGACCACAGCCTGTATATATACAAACATATCATAGTGTATATGCATACGTACATACTGCATCATTGGAAATTTTTGAAATAAATTTCTAATATTATACAACTTCTTATTAGATTTGAATTCAACATAACCTTGGCTGCTGCAATAAAGCTTTTTTTTTAGATTTTATTTATTTGTTTGAGTGAGAGAGAGTGAGTGAGAGAGAGAGCATGAGAAGGGGGAGGGTCAAAGAGAAAAGCAGACTCCTGGCTGAGCAGGGAGCCCGATGCGGGGCTCAATCCTGGGACTCTGGGATCAGGAAGAAGATATGTCTGATTTTTAGCCCTGGATATTTTTTGGGTGGTGGGGAGGGTAACAGGTGGTTATGTAATTTAGGAAGTTGTTATATAATTGATACTTTGCACAAAGAAGTTTTCCTAGTTCCGTTTCTCTATTTTCCCTAATCAACAACAAAAATCCTCATACCACTGCTTTAAGGAGGGTGGAAAAAATGTTTTCCAGCTTTACTCATGCTTTCAAAGTAACCATTATTCATGTTTAAAATCGATGGCTTCAATTTTTGTTACCCTAATGGAATTTAATATTTGTATTTTTCTCACTTTGACCCCTGAAGAGGTATTGCAAGTATAGCTTGCCTTACTGCCTCTATCCCCCAAGGTTCCTCTGCAGGTGCAACAGTCACAGGTACTTCTGGGCCTGATGGAGTGTGATATGATGAAGACTGTATGGATGCTGCTGCCAAATCTCCGAGTTCTCTGAAATTAGTCACAGTCAGGAAGGAATGATACACTCCATACTGCAATGGTTTACTTTTAGGGCAAAGTCTTCTCTAAGCTGTTGTAAATCTTGGGAGTTTTTCCATGGATCTAACTTTAAAAAAAAAAAAGATTTATTTATTTATTTGAGAGAGAGCACACACGAGTTGGAGGAAGAGGCAGAGGAAGAAGGAGAGAGAGAATCTCAAGCCGACTCCCAGCTGAGTGTGGAGCCCAGCGCGGAGCTCGATCACACGACCCCACGATCATGACTTGAGCCGAAATCAAGAGTTGGATGCTTAACTGACTGAGCCACCCAGGGGCCCCTCCATGGATCTAACTTGAGTAATTGTGCTAATGGCCTCATGGCTGAAAGCACAGGCCTGGAGTTAGACTGCCTCAGCTTTCAAATCCCTTTTCTCTTCTATTTATTCACTGCATAATTTCCCGCAAGTTATCTACCTTTTTCTGAGCAGTTACCTCATCTGTAAAATGGGGATAATTATAACATGTCTCTCATAGGGCATTAGAAAGGAGTAAAGGGCTGTAGAAAAAAAAAGTTGTCTAAAGGAGAAATACACAGCTAAAATACACATTTTAAATATGAGAATTTGTTGAAAGTCTACCAAGAAGTTTACATTTCCTTCCATGTTCACCTTCCGGATCCTACTTTTACATTTGGCTGCACTGTGCTACATCGGGGAATGTAGCTTAAACCACTGAAATGGAAAATAGTGAAATAGGGCAGAACAAATCTCATGGCACAAATAAACTTTAAGTTTGCATGAAAAAATTGTAAGTTAGAAATCAAGGGTGGGGAAAAATATCAACAGAGAGAAAGAAATAGAAAAAATTCATCGGACACCTGGTAACATGATCTAAACTGTCCTCTTCATGTTCTATTTGAGGCAGTCATCAAAGTCTCAGTGAAAACCAAATCCTTGTGTGTATACTGTGTGAATTCTCTTTACCATAAAAATAAGACCCTGATGAATAAGGAGATAAATTGAGTTTGATCATATAACCAGTATGGATACATGGTACTCCTCATTAAAGGCACAAGCTCACTGTTTATGGAGCTATTATTTTTATAGTATTCTCTAAGACCAAGCATCAAATGAATACACTATTAACAATATCTCACTTTCTCATTTTTTAGCATTGATCTGCCAGAGTTTTAATACTGAAAATATTTTTCACCTACTTCATGTTGAAATTGAACTATATATCCACACAAAAGTGTTTTCTCCTCTGCATTCTTTTAATAGAGAAACTCTTCTCTAGTAATAGGTATAGGTAATCTGATGATTTATATATTTTATGAAATTTAGTGACTATTTCTTCTGAACAAGAAAATATAGCACCTTTGATCAAATTCTGGACTTCAGTGTTACAGGGCATGAGACTGAAAGAGACATGGGTTTCCGAGAGCAGAAGATAGAAGAGTCCATCAAAATCATGACATCAGAACTGGAAGTCTCCTCAATCATCTTCCAAAATAGAGAAGCTATGCCTCTTTTAATTAGGAGAGTTCTGCGCCAGTGGTTTTATACATTTTAATGAGGTGAGGACCAATGCCAAGCCACTCCCTCACATCACCCCATAATGGAAACTCATACTCCCCTCAAGCCTCTCTTTCTCTGCCCATCTCCAGCCTCTGAGTATTGGCCCCCTACTCCAATACAACAGTTTGAAAGTTTGAGGCTATCGAAATCCAGTCCTTCTTTTTAAAATCAAAGAAAGCAAAGGCCAGAAGGAATAAAAACATTTTCTGAGGCAACACGGTGATTTGGAAGTTGAGACTGTAATTTAGGTTTCTGGCCTTCCTGTTTTGAGTTTTATAGAATAGTCTCTGTTACTTGAAGTGACAGACTATGAGTTGGTGTCTGCTTAACGTCTTCCTCAAGTTTTTATTTTATTTTTATTTATTTATTTTTTTAAAGATTTTATTTATTTATTTGACAGAGAGAGACACAACAAGAGAGGGAACACAAGCAGGGAGAGTGGGAGAGGAGAAGCAGGCTTCCCGTGGAGCAGGGATCCCGATGCGGGGCTCGATCCCAGCACCCTGGGATCATGACCTGAGCCGAAGGCAGATGCTTAACGACTGAGCCACCCAGGCGCCCCTTCCTCAAGTTTTTAAATGTTTATATTCTTATGAGTATACAAGAGATAAGGCACTGAACTGTATATGGAATTGATTCCAAGCAGAGGCGGTTTTATACTTACTCTTGTGTTGTTTCTTTCAGCTTTAAGTTCAGAAATTTCTTCTTCCTTTTCTAGGAGTTGCTCCCTACAGGCATTTAATTCTTTTGTCAGTGCAGCAAATTCCTGAAAAGGGAATAAAAATATTTGAAGACATATTTCAGATATTAAAAAAATGTTTCCCACAGGAATAAAAAAAATCAAAATATAAACTTGAATGTGAAAAATGGGAATAATGACTTCAATGACTGGCCTATATGTATATATATTGCTGTTATTAAATTAATTGGATTCCAATGTTCAGAAAATGCTAAACCATGATATTTAACATTTACATTTTATTGTAATATGCTGCTTCAGTGAGTGAATATAAGATGTTTCAAAATATATCAGATACAGCACATTGAAATTAACATTAGTATGATAATATATTAGTAATATAGAATGATTTAAATTTGGCTAATTTTGTGAACAACTCCAAAAATCTTACACTTCCATTCCTACTCAGACTGAGTATACTAAATCATCAAAAACCAAACACAAAACAAAACAAAACCACTACCAAAAGCAACCACAAAAAATCCTACTACATGTGTATTCAGAGATTAAGAAATTCATTTATATGTTAACACGATGAAGAAAGCAAATGTACCTCTTACAAAATAATAAATATCTAAGAGTTAAGAACATCATCCTGCAAATTATTAATTTATGCATTGTTCAGTCCTTCCCTCTGAAACATAAGCTCCATGTAAACTGGGACTTTGTCTGACTTCACTGCTACACTCTCAATGTCTAATACATAGCAGATGCTCAATAGTATTTATTTTCAATAAGTGAAAATGGATCATGTTGTTAGAAAAAAATATTGAGGGTTCTGGAGTAATCTTCTCTCCATGTGACAAGTGACAATTTAGAGGATTCTTCAATGGCCTCCCCAAAATAGGATCAGAAATTGTATGATCTGGGTATTTTTACCATGAAGCAGAGAGTTTCAACACGGTAAAGATTACACAAAAAGAAAATCAAGAAACTTAATTCAGTTATTCGGCTACTCTAGCTTATAAGCAAATACTATTTTAAAATGATTTTGAAAAACAGTGAACAGGCCCATGCTATCATTATGATTATCATTAAATCATTTAAAGTGATTCCCAGTAATAAAACTGATGCTTGTCAAATATTTAAATATTTGGGAAACAGGCTGAGAAGGCACTGTCAGCAGATGAAAAATAAAGATGAAAATCAGGGAGACAGTTATGGTTAACCTAACCTCTATAAAGGGAAATATAGTCCAAAGTAAATGTGCTATGGTGAGCGCTGTGAATTGTGTAAGACTCTTGAATCACAGACCTGTACCTCTGAAACAAATAA